CCAGCGGCTCGGGGCTCCAAGCAGTTGCTTGGTTTGCCTGATGACAAGGTGCGCCTCTGGTTGCGCAAGCCGCCCAGAAAGTTCCAGGTTTGGAAGCAGAGCAGACTGATGAGCCAGAAGAAAAGGAGTATCCGGAGGGAGAATCCAAAGTCTGTGCGGAAGCAGATGTCCAGGCCAGAAGATCAGAGCTCCAAAGAGGTACCAAAGGGAAATCCAACCCGGGGTCAGGAGACAGGTCCGAGGTCGTTAGCACGCAGAATCCAATAGAAGTCCAAAGACCGGTCAGGTAAATCAGGCAAACTCAGAAGTCCAGGAGCAGAAACTAGTCAGGATCAGCGAATCAAAAACACATTGAGTAAACTAGAGAACTCTCACACACAGTTCAAATAATCTGGCACTGATGGCTGGGAACAAGCCGTTTAAATAGGAACTGGAACAGGTGGATCTGAAGAGTGAAAATGAAATCTGGGTGAAGCTTGGCAGGTGGAAGACATAAACCAATAATCCAGTCATCATGGCCAAGATCAGGGGTGGCCACTTCCAGTTCCTGGGGACCAGTATCCTGCAGCTTTTAGATCCATCCTTGGTCCAACACACCTGAATGAAATAGCTGCGTTACCTCCTCAGGATGCAGTCAGGTTCTCCAGATTCCTCTCAATCATCTCATTGTTTGATTGAGGTGTGTTGGACCAAAGGCACATATGAAAATATATAATTTATTCACACAAATGTAAATATTTATTTCATATTTTTAGGATGTGAAATGGCATAAAAAATGTATGTCTATATGTTTGAAAATGATTAAAAAGATTTTACTTTAAAATAAAATTTAAAGAAACTTGACTGAAAATAAAGAAAAAGAAAGAAAATGGCTTCATCAATAATAGCCTAATTAATTAAGCTTCCCTTAGCATAGAAATCTGAACATGTGCATAAGTTTCATCTGTAAAATAAAATAAGAAAAACAGACACAAATGTAGAGGCTTTTTTCTTTTACAATTTATTAATTTAATTTACACTCTAATAAAACTCATTTCGTTCCCTTTATTTACTCTTTACAGCACAAATAAATCATATTTGTATTGAGTCAAATAAAAATACTAAAACTAGAAATAAAAAAATAAAACATGACGGGAATCCTTGTTTCTATATATGCTTCTTAATTGTGCGTTTTTAATGTAATTCCAATGTATCGTAGAGTTAACTTTTTTTATTTGAAACACAAAACAATACAGTCAAGTTTTAATAAACTAAGCTTTTATATTTGTAATATTATTAAACCAAAAATTAAATCAAAAATGAAGAAATTAATCCCTAAAAAGTGAAAATAATCAAACAAAATCAAAAACAAAACAGTGTCTGAAAAAGAGATAGGATCACAGAAGTATTCTGGGCTTTTTGGACAAGAGGTTCTTTGGATTTGCTTCAATAATTTTATTTTGAGATTAATAGTTTAATGTGAACTGTGGTCATAAAACATTCTGTGATAACTGCCATGACATCATAGAGGGATCTTTACATGTTCTCAGAGGCAGCAGAGTTTTTCACTCCTGCGGCCATTACAGCGAAAAACATGTTAGGGAAAAAGGACCTGGCGTAGATGGCCATCTTTGGAAGCGAGGGAGCAATTAGAACTTCTTTCCTCTTGTTGTTTAAGGTCCTTACAATCTCGGTGGTGGCCTCGTCTGGAGAAACACCGCGTGGCTTCCGGGTGAACAACACTGCAAAGTGATATTTAAGCCTTTAAACTTGCCAGAACCAACTTAATAGCGTCTGGGATCAAACCTCAGATTCTACTTACGGGACCAAAGCAGGGACTTTGAGGTTGCCGCCTCCGTTGTTTGGGACGCAGAGCAGCTGATGAAGGTGTGATTTATGGTGCTGACGGAGATGCCGAACTCTTCCACCTCAGATCTCAGGCAGTCAAAGAAAGCCTGAACTGCATGTTTGGAAGCTGCATCTGGAACACAACAGTCCAACTTCTTAATGAAATGATTGCAGGCACAAAAAGCTTAGTCCCCACAAACAAAGTCTGACATGATGTGACTCATATGCAGACAGGCAGTAGATTCAGTGTTTCTGAAATGTACAAGTATCTCTTTAAAATGGTAGACCTTTCAAAAAAGGTCAAATTTTCCACTTTGAATGTGACATCTGGTCTTTACAACTCAACTGACAACCAAATATGTAAAAAAAAAAAAAGTAGTAGCTGTTGTATAAGTGTGCAGACTCAAATGAATGCATTGCTAAACCATCTTCTGTAGCAGTTTCAGCAAGTTTCCTCTAGTTACTGTGTAAATGTAGTTCTGCAACATCTGTCTCAATACCGTCTTAAGGTGTTTTCACAAGTTTTTATTACTTGGCTCAGGTTATCCTGAGCTATCTCTATAGTTATGCTGCTATAG